TGTCATTAGGTAATGAAGAGCACCACTTCCAGGCTTGTGGGGGAGAGCCTCATTAACATGAGTAGCCATTACCCAGCAAAGCGGGGCACAGGGCATTGGGCATACTACCATCATTTTCAGAAAGTACAGATGGCACCAGCTAATTAAGCACTGATCTCAGAGACACTGGCCCTGACCAACCTTTGCAAATCGCTTTTTTATTTTGAATCTTTTGGACAGAGGGTGAAAAAAAAGAAATAAAAACCCAGCTTCTTCCGGGTGAGTGGGAAGGCAACTGCATTGCCACTCCCTTACCATTTGTGAATGAGCCCCTTCCCCTCTGCAGGAGGGGCCCTTCTTTTGCTGGCTCCTGCATGCAAAGGCATCAGGCTGTAGGTTCAAGAGTCACTTGGAAATCACACTCCTGCCAGACTTGCGTTGCAGAGAGGCGGCGTCACTGCTCTGTCCCGCAGATGGGAGATTCAACTAAGACCCCTTCCTTCTTGTCTCACAAAGACGTTAACACTCCCCTTGAACCGCTGGGAACAGCCCTATTGTCCTGGCTTAGGCAGCAGAACAATTTCAGCTTTCCTGAGCTGCGTGTGTGAGCTGCTATCACAAAAAGCAGCAGAGCTCTATAGGTATGCGCAGAATGCAAGGGCCTGATCCAATACTCATTTAAGTCAATGGGTGTCTTTGGAACAGGCCTGTAAGAACCGCTACTTTCCCCCACATTGTTTTGTAAAGTGCCTTGGGATAGAGCACCTTGAATATGAAAGGGGCTATATAAAACCAAATGCTGTTCCATTGTATGGCTTTGCATTGCGTTACCTTGTATTATGCTGGGCTGTCGGCTTGAGAACAGCTTGAACAATGAATCTCTATCAAGGGAGCTTGGATGTGTGGGTGAATGACACAATAGAGTGTGGGCATTTCTGCATCTGGTGTTTTGGGCTAAAAGGTTGGTTTTATTCCAGCCAATCTCCAGAAAAAGCTCAAATTCACTGGTGGTCATGTTTTTCTATCAGCGTTAAAATAAATACTCAAATTTAGAGACGGAGATTAGAAACGTTTTTCAAGGGAAGGGGGGAGAAGAAAACCCGTCAAAGTAGATGAATTATTCAGCTCTCAAGCTGCCAAGCGAACATTATCAGGTAATGATCTATAATTATTAATAAATTATTTAGACTTTAATATCTAGGAAATTAAATGCTTAATTGCATCATAACATAATTAATGGAATTAGCTACCATGGATAAAATTAGGGCTTTTTTATTTTCTTTCTTTCTTTTCTTTTAAGTAAAAATCCTATTTTTTCTCAGACTCTGCTGGTTAATGACATTCAGCTTAGGGGCAAATATGATTAGCTGGTTGGAAAAACTGGAGTTGGCTTCCAACTGCATGGAAAGGGGCTACGGGTGGACTTGTGTTTGATTTATGACTTAGGAGGCTGGGGTTCTGTCCCCAGGACCGCAATCCTTCCCTGTAGTATCTTGGGCCAGGTTTTATAAGACTTGCAATGTTAAGTGCTCAACTCGAGACTTATTATAGGGGCTTCATATTCAAGGGGGGGGTGCTCCACTCTTCCCAACAGCCAGGCTCTTTGTGAAGCGCTTAATAGGTGCAGCTAACAGTGGAAGCACTCAAAATCCCCAGTCACTTTGGGAGGCAGATGGCAAGTTATTAAACATATAGAAGTTCTTGCAGTGCTAGCAGGCCTCAACTGGGCTGAGGCAGGCAAGTTGGCTGGGAGGCGGAGACAACTGGTGACAAAACTAGTAGGATGCACAGAATTCGGTCACCTGGGAGCGGGAGTCTCAACTCCTAATTAGCCAAGTCATTATTAATGGGTAACGTCACTTTGACTTCAGTTAAATGGAGAATAGGACCAAGCCTTTTTCCCGGCCTTTGTCTGTCATCTGCTTCGACTGTTGGCAGGAGCTCTCTGTTACTACATGCATGTGCAGTGTCCAGCACAACAGATCCCAAAACTCCCTAGATACCACTAATAATGAAGCTACACACTAGATCTGAAATGCAGCATGCAGCAAGGGAAATCCACCTCTCTGCAAATGTGCAGCTCAATGCCCACGCACCAGGTTAGTCTCATTTGGACACTCTAGTGAATCATAACAGCCCCCGGATAGTAAGACTAAGCCTGCTAGACCTATTATTACTAGATGCTGCATGTCTCTATCAGCAATTGAAGAAAAAGTAGATTCCCCTGTATTATTTAGCGCGTACTGGGTGATCATTGAATTAAGGACTGCCAGTAGTAGAGCGCACCCTCATGGGAAGAGAGCACACGCAGTCTTAGCTTTGTCATTCAGCAGGTAACCATGCAAGGAGAACTGTTTCTTAATGTGCGGGGGGAAGCATGGAAATACATTTTTTTGTCCCCCTCTGCACCCCTGTCCCAGTATTACATGCGGGCTGAGGGGATTTAATGCCCTACAGCTGCTCTCAATGCCACAGAAATACAGCGGCCCCCTGCTTCTTTAACATCTGCCCAATGGCGTGGCACTACTTCAGGCGCTGCCGCCCCATGGTGGGAAGGCTGCCATTCCCAGATAATGCTGCAATGTTAACAAGTGTTAATAAAAGCAAGGCCATCATGCACGGCCCATTCGGAGGGCTTTTTATTAGGCAATCATATATTTTCATTAGTTATGGTGATGAAGCACTTAGGTTTTATGGGGTGTTTTAGTGTTTAATTTCATTGCACTTCCTGATTACTTTGCTAACATTTCTGGGTGACATGGGCCATTTTCCCCTTTTGCTGGAAATGTTTCGTTTTTGCAATCGCATGGCCATAAATGGAGTCAGCTCCCATCTGCTGGTGGAGAGAAGCAGCCCATTAAAGGCTGTGAATTCAATTGCAAAGCCTCTTCATAATTAATATACTTTATAACAAGGAAAAAAAAACAACCCCTAAATGTTACTACAAGGTAATTGTTTAAGCAATGCATAGACAAGTAAAACGCCTTGCGAAGCATTTACCACTTAAGTATATGTCTGGGGCATAGCGGGGATGTTGAGATGAGTGAAACAGGCAACTGTATTTCATGTCCAATGTCCGTATCCTCGTCGGATGTAAATGGATAGGTTCAGCTCCCCTAGAGTTAATGGTGTTACGCTGATTTACACCGGCTGAGAATTTGCTCCTGGAAGTACATCATTCTCCCCTGCGGTGCTCTAAATCGTTCACCTCTGAAGAACTAAGGTCAGCCCGGCATTGCTTCTCACTATGGGCTATCGCCACACCCACAAATCAAGGCACGGGTCATTTGTGCTTAGCAGTCTTTCTTCCTGGGAGAGATTCAGGGCTGTAAGAACAGCTCTGCAGGTTCAATTTAATGTGTGCTGACAAAGCTGAGCGAGGAGCCCGGGACTGGAGCTAGGGGATGGGGCAGATGCAGGTCAGGGATGACCGTCAGCAGAGCTGTGCCCATGGAAGCCATGTGATTTGAAGAGCAGCGGGCATCACAGGGTGGCAAAGCGAGCGGATGGGGCTGCGTGTAGATTGGGTCGGCTTTTACCACTGCTGCCTGTACGCAGCTGAGTCAATGTGTCAGATGCAGAACAGCCCCCGCCTCCTCCCCATCCATATCTCTGAATGTAATTACAGTTTGATTTTGTTTCTAGAACTGAAGTTGCCTTTGCTTCAGCTTTTGCCCACAGCTGTTTCACCCACTCCCTGATTCATATGGAAACATACTGTGGCAAGATCTCACTCTTTTCTGCTTTCTCTTCTGACTTGGCCATGGGTAAGGCTCACTCTGTTTTGCTTCCTCTTATTGTAACTCACTCAAGTATATCAGCAAGCACGCCCGCTTTCCCCGCTCCTGTTCATCTGTGCCACTGCACCCTTGGCTCGGCGTATCGGGCAGGACCCTGGAATGGGTGAAGTCCAAATCCCCAGAGGAAATGAGGAAGAGACCAAGGTCCTGGCATGGGGGACCTGAACATCCTATGCCAGAATAAGTGTGCAGTAGAAAGAGCCCTGTTGCACACGCGGGTTTACAAAGTGACAGCGGGGGCCAAGACCAACGTGAGCAAAAGCACCAGCCTGGCTGTCGATGAGCTCGGGGACCTGGAGTCCCTGGGGGTCTCGGTCCCCTGCAAGGGGGTCAAGATCCTTGGGGTGGAGTTTGACCTGGAGCTGAGCAGGAGGACAACCTGGGAGAAGAAGGAGGCCAAGGTGAAGCGGAGGTTGCATCTGTGGTGCACATGCCACCTCTCCATGGGGGGAGCGTGTGGCACTCATGAAGGCAGTGTACACTGCACTGGTCTTCCCCCCTCCAAAGCATATCACCCCCAGACTCCACACAAGAAGAAATGAACTGGGGGCAGGGGGATGCCGGACACCCGCCTGTTCCTGCGGGCATGGTACACAAGCCAGATTGGCAAGCTGGTGACCAGGCCAGGGACCAAAACAGCCTGTCTCGTCAAGTATTTTGCAGGTCACCTCCTGAGACGGCGCGGGGTGTACGCACCAACCAACTGGAGATCATGGACCATGGAGCAGCCCTGGGTTTACAGGGTCCTGAACAATTTCCGGAGCAAGTACGGGCTGCAAAAGGAAAGCCTGGTGACTGTGTCCGACTGCAGGAGGATACAGGAGACAGGCTATCGACCATGGGGCGGCTCCCGGAAGATGACTGCCAGGCCATCTGGGATCAGATCTTCCACGTGGACCTCTGAAAGGACCCCGGGGACTTGAACTGGCTAACAGCTCACTGCACGCTCCCAGTGAAGGCGTGGAGACATTTTGAGGGGCAAGGGACTAGCCCCAGGGAAAGCTGCCAAGGTACAATAGAGACCATTGAATACCTCCTGTGGCTCTGCCCCTACACCAAGAGGGTAAACTGACTCTGCAAAGAGGAGTCAGGCTGATGACAAGGGAGGAGGCACCGTAGGGACATCAGGGGTCCCCGACAACCCGCTTCAACCAGTTTGTGTCCTATGTGAGGAGCGTCCTGTGGAAATGCAGGAGACTTCTGAGGTCCCGATGCACTGACCTCAAAGAAACAGACTGTGTTAACATGTTTCTGGGGGAGCTCCAGTCCTACTACCAGAAATCGGTGGGAGAGGACTGAGAAAAGACAGCCAAACTACTCCTGGAAGAGAGCCGCTTGGCACCGGCTGATCAAAGACCCCCCACCCAGGAAAATGAAGAGGACAGCGACACAACTGGACCTGGAGACAGCGAGGAAGACAGCCACGGGATCAGCAGCAGTAGAAACAACAGCGACAACGACAGCGAATGACCTGAGAACCTAAATCCCAGACCGGGGCTCGGACTAAGGGATTGCGATTGGTTTAGGGAAAGGGCAGCAGGTGGGTGCGTGGGGGCGCAGGGGTGTGGGCACGTTTATTGTAATGGGTGCACCGTTTCTGAATGTGGTTTAAGGTGTATGATGGAAAGTTTATGCTACATACTGTTATTTTTATATATAAAAATATATAACAGTGTATAT